AAATCCCCCACTCCTAAACCTTTCATCAGATATGTCACCTACTGTATATGCCCTTTAACAGAATCTCTTTCATGATTTTACAAATACAACAGCGGTGCTGACAAGAACTGTGTCTGCCAACAGTCAGGTAACAGAATGTTGAGGTTGGGGATTGGGTTACTACCAGCGGTTGAAAATCTGATATTCGATAAATAGAATAAAGTAGGGACAGACAGCAGAACTAAATGATAAGGAATTGTGGGTGCATCCGTCGTAGAAACACTTTTGATTCCAGGAGTTATCATTAGCAATATAATTTGACTGATGCGACCTTTATTTCCTCCATTGAAGTAGCTATTTGCACAGTGACGTTCCGTGTGCACACTTGGAGCTTAGTCTTTAAAAAAACGTAGCTTAATTTTTCAGCCAGTCAAGAAGCTACTGCTCTATCAATTTGCGTGTGTGACTACAAATAACTCTGAATTTCGTTTTCAATAGATCACTGACTTTCAATACTAGAGGATTTTTACGCCAATTCCGCAACCATTTATTTGCAACTATTTATAATTAGATGACTTTGCCGCATGTCACCTTTTTTCTCTGGTCTGTCCATGTGAATGACTATGTAGACAGCCGCAAAGCCTTACCATGAACTCCATGCGGTAAATTAAAAAAACAGACTCGCTGCCTTAGTAGTCGGGGTTTTCTTTTGAGTCAGCGTAAGACCATCTCGGGGTAGGACACAGGGATAGTCAAAGTGTGAACGGCTGTTGGCCGTACAATCATAAAACCCGGGGGTTTATCGTGGCATCCATTTGCTAAAGTTGGTCCTTTGTATCTTCGAAAATAAATGGGTGAACCTGACGTACAGTATGTCAGACAATTGCTACCTGATGCAGGCAGGTAACTTGCTGCCTGTAAAATTGCCTCGAAAAATAATGCGAACGATTTATAGTTCTTCTCGATTATATAACTTCTGCATGATTAAAGAAGAAGGTTGGTCGAGTAGCCTAACACTGTTTTATTGCTCTGAAGTTTCGAATAGGTGAATGAGTTCACCCTAAGAGATAGCAGTGACAACATAAAAGAGGCTGAATTTATATTGAGTACAAGCAAGAAATTATCAAGGAGACAAGCCTGGGGTGATTGCTCAGGTCTCTGTACGAGAGGGCCAAATCGATATATCGGTTGATTTAGTTCTCATTCGTGCGGCAGGCCTCAATCAATCCTCGGTGCGTCTATTTTCCTGACGAGGGTGAGTATCGTAACGCCTACGGGATTGCACTCATGACACGTTTCCTAGTTGTAGGCTGGCAAGCCCTTTTCTTTAATCACAGAAACACCTGGTAATCAAAATTTCACATCTATTTTCGGGCATTCACCTACATGGTCGTGAATTTTGTGAGGCAGTAAATTAGGATCCAAAGCTGCCGTGCGCACTTCGAATTTTTCAGACTTCTATTGCTACAGGTTAATTTAAATGACTTGGCATGTGATAGTTCTATTATTCGTCTGGTCTAATTGTGAAAAAACTTTACCTTTGATTGAATTGGAGATGCGTACTTTTAATTGCAAGTGTTTGGTAGGCATAGGACCTCTTCCTGGTTATAAGAAAATTTACGTTTTAATTTTTACAGGAAAAACTGAGCAAGAGTAATATATTACCGCCCTCTTCGACCTGGACACAGTTATTTTGCTCACGCCTTATCGCTTTGGCACACTTTTAACCCCAGTCGCTAGTAGAAAACACCTACTCTCATCTGTTTCCCACAATTTGCATTTACTATTATTATTTCCTAGCAGAATTGCCTGAGATGAGCAATGCTGTATGGTGACTTTTAATTAGGACAGTCGTAGTTTAACACAGTAAACAACAAACTCCTCTGAATACTCGGGCAACTGATAAAATTATGGTACTTTTAGCGTCCACTAGGGCTGCGCTCACTCAACAATAGCTGCTCACATTTGTGTCAAACTAGGTAACGTAACAGGCGTTGATGAACAATCTCAGAATCAAATTATGTCGGCTTCCCTTTATGGCAGTCCTGGTTACGCTCATATGCATTTTGTGGTGGTCGCCCAAGCGGTCGTTGTCGTGGTGCGGTGACGAGCTTTGCTAGGCAAATTAGTGTAATATTTATCGGGAACACATGAAGGTACATGAGGAATCTGTACAAATAATTCATTTGAAACGAAAATTCCCGCTTCATATTCGGCTGTTATAAATATTCACCCGGTTCCGTAGACGCAGAATCTAGTACGTTTGTGGAAATTTCCTGCTTACCTAGACGCCTTGTTACGTCAGAGGCGTTTACAGGCCTATGTGCCATCATAATGCATTCTCGCTCCTCTGGGAGGCATATTAATGGCAGCTGATATATTTCCTTTTGTAAGGATAATTAACTGTTCCCTGCTCTTACTGATAAATACCCAGTCACATATATTCTTGAGCGCCTTAGACGTATGACGTCAAAGTGCACTGAAAACTGCCCATTAACAGTGAAATATGAGTACTCTGTCTCAAACCGGCGGGAAATGAGCAAAAATTAATAACAGTCAACGCCCTTACTTCCTTTATTACGAGGGCTCGATAGAGAGCCGTAAATTTAGTTCCGCTTCATTCAAGGCATCTTGTAATATATTGAGCAGAAGTTACTGGATCGGAAAATGTAATTCCCTCAAGTTTTAGTTCCTTTCTTTATATTTTAAACAATTTCTTCTGCTAGCTCATCACTAACAAGGTATTAACGTCCAGATTAGTCTGAATAGGAGACGTGTACATCACCGACCTTACATGACTGCCTAATGGAGCATACCTTGTTCCCTGAAGTCGCCTTCGAAATATGCGAAAATGCTCTCATAACACTAAGCAGACAAATATGAGTACTATAGAAAGTGTTACTTCTGTTATCAGCAGGCTTTACTACACCAACAGAAAACGCAAGCACTGGACCGGATTTTTTGCAACCGTCAAACGGGACAGGAGAAGATCGTGAAAATTAGTCAGCTGGCGACTTATGAGTTCATCGCAACTTGGGCGCCTCCTTTGCGTGAATTCACGGCCCACCCAACTGAAAATGGTCGAATGCAACAGATTATACACCCTTAGCGCTTTTTTGTATGTGCTCTTGAAGCATCGATGAATAGTCACGATTTGCAAACCCATTTTCCTTACAATAAAAGCAAAGTAATGGTGCTTCAGCTACGCTTTGAAGTTTATAGTGAAAAACTCTTAATAACGATGAACACTGGAGGAAATTTCAGGTTTCTCCATTTTAAATTTGAGTGCGGCAAAACAGTGCTATAAAATTGGTCAGAAATTCTCCTTCCAGTGTGCTTTTAGTGTGTGGGAAGCCGTATAAAAATTAAAAGTATAAACCACATAGTTCTTGCTCCTCTATCGTCTTTCTTTCTTACTTTCTCTCTCCCGTTCTCTTTTCCCTCTTCTCTTCTTCCTCCCTGCGCATCCTGCTCTACAATTTTCCCCTCCGGTTTGTTTTTTTTTTTAACACTGCGCCCGTCCCATCTCAGGCGACCGATCAGCTAGGCGGTGGCCTATTGCTGGTGGTGGGGAGAGTGAGGTTGACCCTCAGCCTACTTGTTTCCTCACTTGCAACAATCTCATACGCTTGAATTTAGCACGCGGCGCTAAAAGCCGTGGCTGAGTGGGTGGGTTGCCAACTGACAGGATAACTTGGACACCGTAGTCAGTCCGGCGTGTGTCTTGTTGCGTGGACTGGCTGACTGGCGGACTGAGAGTCAGGTTGCAATGGCTCCTTCTTAATGCGGCCTTTATGGCGCTGTCAGGCGGAAGTCTACCTGGCAAGGTGTTGTTGTTGTGGCGCGTGTTGAAGTGTGTTTCGCGCACACTGCCATGCGCCCTCCCCCCACATACTTTCATTCACACTGATTCCTGGTACCGACGGCCTCTGTTTCCCTTCTTATGCAAGACTATATTAGTAAGATATGGAAATGGATAGTAATACAACCTTCATTAGACCCCTACCTTCAGCTCAAAGTTCAAAATTATTCGTTCACATATATGGCCTTGTGACTCCGAAAGTTGCCAGAGTGCACCAGCCGAGCTGGTAGATCCGGCGAGTCTACTTTCATTGTAATCCAGCCGCAGTCACCGCGTCGCTTCAGCTTGCTGAAGCTCGTGGTGGAAATCATCGAGAGCGACGGTCGAACTGCCCGATCTTATAATCTAAGTTCTGCGGCCTGCGTATGCCACGGTAGTTTAAGTATATCTTCAATAATTTTGAAGCGTTTTTATTTTTTGCATCATTTTTGGAAACGCAATAAGCGACCCTTTGCGGAATGTACTTTCAATTGCCTAACTAGCATGTCAGAATGTTTTCGGCGGATGTTAAGTAGTGGTCTGACAAAGTGCATTGTCCAAATGCAACTCCAACAGCCAATTTTGGTAGTAGCTTTTGCTGAACATTCGGAACTCAGGTGAATATAACCCTGCCCTAACGTACACGTTAGCCTGCTTAGACATCGATATTTTCTCTAATGTTTTGAAGTACGTGCAAAACTGATAATTATAGGGATGTTAACGTCACCTCTTGTAAAAAGTCGTTGTTGTGTGAGTAATTATAGGACACACTTCTCAAAAGTGTCGCTTTCAAAGACACGAAAAAAAAACACTTTACATTTAAATAAAGGCGCTCTAAGACCCTCCTATAGGTTATTTCAACTTATGCGTCTAGAGCTAAATGCTGTCCTTTCATCAGGACTCACGTCACTACCTTCCAAAAACAACTAGTATGTTTTAGCAGGGATTTTGAAGAACCAGCGTAGCCCAGATGACACATTTTAAATAACCAAATTCCTCTGGAGAAAGGTAAATCATTGTAGGAACAGTTTATTATTTATATAATTTCAAAAGAAAAAAAATATAAAAGTCATGTTTAGAAAATCTAGGCACATAATTAGTTTTGGTATACTGCATAAAGTTAGTTGACAATCCACAAACCGTCATGGAAATCATCAAGTCGAATATAAACAGTTGCTTTAGTGAAGACTGTCTTCTCTAAAACCGAAATATATCATTGGAAGGAAAAGGTCCCTGTGGTTCAAATGGCCACAGGCTCCTTTTTCTTCTTCGAAGAAAATACAGATATAACGAATTTAAAAGGCATTACCAGCAATACGCTGATAATAAATATGTTGTTCGTCAAAAGACGCAAGCTCTGTACATTCGCTGCCTGCCAGGAAGCGTGGAAATCTCGGTAGATAGGATTTACGTTGGGAAAAAGATACGGTACTATCAGTTCTTTTGGACAAAGCAGTAATGCTGG